CACCACCCCCGCCCCGCCGCTGTCCCCAGCCGGTGCACTTCGGCACTCGCACCGCGCCAACGCCCGTATCCCACTTACCCCAAAAGCGGTCCAACTCCAGGCGACTTGTTGACGTTTTCTCAGCAGGTCTGGGGTCGGGCGTGGCGGAGCGGGGGTGGCACCGCTGGGCTACGTCTCGGCCCAGCCCGGCGGCGCCCGGCCCGGCAAAGCTCCCGGGTGAACAAGCTGGATGTAGTACAGTACAGAACCCCTCCGCACTAACCCAGCTTGGAAGCGCAAGCAGAGGCCTATAGGTCGCATTAATCCGCAGGTAATGGGAAACGGGGGCGATTGATGCTGGCCGGGGTGGACCAAGGTGCAGGGGTGTGTGGTGCAGCAGGCAGGCGAGTTGTAGCTGTAGTGGGGCGCGGGGGGCGGGGTGGCGTGGCAGGTGTGGCGGGGTGTGGTGGGGTGTTACAGCGGGGTGTGGCGGGGACCGGTGGGGTGCGGTGGGGCCGAGGCGTCCCGGCCCACACCTCACCTCTTCTAGAGCTGCGAATTCATTAATAATCAACGGGGATAATCATCCTTCACGTTGGGGCGGGACCCTCCACAAAAGCCCCCCTCCGACCCCCTCCACGCACCGCCGCACCCCGCCACGCCCCTCCACGCCGGGAGCCCTTCAAGTGTCGTCCTCCCACCCCTCTGGCCTCCTCAACCCTTTTCCTGCCTTTTCTCTTCGCCCCGGCGCGCGGCTTTCCTCCGGTCCTTTCTTAACAGTTTCCGACGCCCCTCGGCAATATAACGTCGTGTGGAAAACACGCTTGACGAGGCGGTAACCATCGAGACAATAAGTAAACCATCACGCTGGGGTACGTTTAAGATTTTTTTGGAAGAGGATGACAGATTAATAAAAAAGAACATCCGAGAAAGAAACACGAAGTTCCCTTTAAAGAGTTGATGGTTTTCGTTTTCGATTCGGACAAAAAAAAAGTCTGCCAAAGCTTCAATAGGGCACACCATTGATGAGACTATGCCTATTTTCAGACAATTATTTACAATTCATATGCACTTTGCGCTCGTACTCAGAAATATGATTAGCTTTGGACAACCATCGGATGGTTAGCTCAAGGAGCACGATAAAATATTATTTTTACTGGCCTTTTACCACATTCGAGACCACATTCTCATGGTAGTTGTCTCAACCAGATTTAATGTGTTCCCGCTCCCTCTGGTCCAACCATACAATGGTTTGCCATAGCTAATAAGTTTTCGGGGTGCGGTTTTCATCCATTTGAAATCACCTCCAATAAAGAAACAGAAACCCCAAAACGGCGTTCTCGGTAGTTTCTTTTTGTTCCGCTTTCCTATTTTTCGGACGTGCGGCGGCTTAAGGGATGACGAGGTGCAGCCGATTGGTCCCGGTCCGGTCGCTCTGCCCCAGGAGGGCGACCAGCCCGGCCCGGCCCAGCAGCGCAGCGCTCCGGCCCGGGCCGCACCACAGGTTGGACCCTCATACACGGCGGGGGACGAGCCGCAACGGTCAACTTCACCTGCGAACCGACCGAGCGACCGACCGACAGCACGGCGCGGGGCCGGGGCGGGGGGATCTGAGAGGCAACTCTAGCTGAACCCCCACCCCCGCGGGCCCCAGCCCCGGCCCCGGAGGCTGCGCACAGGCGCCATTCTGCGCACCCCTAGAGCGCGCCAGGGAGAGGGGAGGGGGGAGCTGGAGAGGGAGAGTGGGGAGCTAGGGAGGAGGTGGGGGAGGCGCCGGGCGGCAGGGAGGGATAGGATATGTAGGCCACCGTAGAGCTGCTACTGCTGCTGTTTTCCTCGTTTTCGCCCGGCGGCGGCAGCGTTTGGAGGCTCTCTCTCCCGTCTACGTGTCCATATCAATCAGCCAATCAATCCATCAATCAATCGACAGATCAGGCAGGCAAATCGTTATCGCAGCGATATCGACCAGCTCGTTATCGATTTGATCGTGGAATGTGTGAGAGTAGATCAGGGAAACGGAAAGGGGACAAAACGACGGCTGAGCAGGCACGCAGGCGTGTTTGGAAGTTTGTATGCCTATGAGTGAGTGAGGAGTGAGTGAGGAGTGAGTGCGAATGTGTGAGTACAAGTATGAGTGCGTGTGTGGGAGGGAGAGGGGGAGAGAGAGAGAGAGAGAGTTGTTTTGAGCGCCACCGATACGCCCCCGGTCGTGAAACGGGAGCCGACCGAGGAACAGGATAGCCCTCCGGCGTTGTCCACGCGCGTTACGTAACAAGCCTCGCGACATACATTGCCATGGTACTTTTCACTCGTGCTTTACCCCCCTCCCCAAATCTCACTACGACGATTGTGGTCGGTATCGTGTAAGTTAGGACCCATTTCGCCAGAAAAAAACTGGAAACCATAAACACGTGGTGCAGTAGGGATGTTTCGGAGAGTACGCCCGTTACTCTCATGGTATGGTCATTTGACAGGTTAGGGGAACTCAGCGCCTGCGAGACTCAGGGTAGGCCACCCAACAGTACACACATGCCCTGAACGCAAGATGCTGCCTAGCTATCAGGCGCTATGGGGGCTACCAGAGGATAAAATTGGCAGGGTTCATAATGGCGAGTGACGGGCGTACCTTCCGCCAAACCGAGTTGCCACCTTCACTTCGCTCCACAGGCAACTCCGCTCGGCAGGGGACGAGTCTGCTTGGCCTGCCGGCGGCGTTTGATGGGCATCAGGCCCGTCTTTTAAATAAGTCACTATTCATATACTAAAAATTATTACTAGCAAGGTTCTACTTTATTAGCTATATGTAATCACTCCACGGAAAAATATGGGCTTCCGGCCGCCAAATTAGACATTTTCACAGAAACTGGTGACTTTATCACTCGAAAATTATGAAAACGGGAGAAATGTGACAAAACTGAAAATATTTTTTCGCCACAAGGCTCTATGTTAAAGAGTTACCCCAGAGGACCTCATAAAAAAATATTTTACAAACGCACTTTTTCCAGCCTGTTGAGCTAGAATATCCATCTTTGAACTCAATCTGCCTTTTAATTGTAATAAACAAACCTGAAATATTGAGATCACTAACGTAAATGGTTCGATAGAACAGACAAACATAGAGAATATAACTTTTTCGATCAGTGGAGTAAATGGGCTTCGCTAACGCTCACCCAAATGAGAAATTCTTTTGCTTGTTGGGACATATATTGAAAATGCACTTTATTGGACACTGAACAAAATATCGACGTCAAAAGACCATAATTAAATAATCCACAGATAGATTTGAAAGTCACTCAGAACGAGGAACGCGGATCCACCAAAGCTTATCGTCATTGGAAGTATGAAGGTCCGGTGCCGAGCATTGGTCGTTGGGATGCGAGTAAAAGCAGATAGACGTCCCACTCACCCTGTCACGCTCATCCTCAAGAAAATCTTTGACATCTTCATGGCAGTCCAGATAACACCAGTTACAGTCAGAGCAGAATGGCCCCTCAAGACGGACATGGATCGAATGTGGAATCTTCCTGATAGTGTCACTGTGCAGCCATTCATGACAGCATGGCACCCATGACTCGGAATGGAGCATCCGCAATGCCGGGGCGGTCGTGGGGCTCAAGTTAGGCACTAACTCGTCCGGTACATAATCCAGAGAGAGTTCACGTAAGACTGGGAGCCGGGGCAACACACTGAGGAGCACCTTGTAATTCAAAAAGTGCCCGTAATTGCCAAACACATTAAAAGCTAACCTGCTGCAATCCCGGTTATTGAAATTAATACTCAATGTATGCACCGACGACTGACCCGATGCTCCCAAGGCCCGGAGTAGCTTAGCCGCTATGGCCACAGAGGAGGCCTCTCTGTTGAACACCAGACCCACATGACGCAGCTGGCCCGCTTCACGGAGGAGCGCGGCCGCTCCGTCGACGGCGGCGTCCCTTGATTCCAGCTCCACTTGTAGTGTCAAATCCCTCAGCGTCCTGCATGCGATCAGAGCCTCCATGCCAGGGAGCAGTGCACAGTGTAGCGCAGTGAGCTTTGGCAGCCCGGTGAGCAGATCCAATTCCGAGAACATGCTGCTTGGGAAGTAGCCCACCGTCTCCAGGGTACCTGCATGCCTGATAATCACGAATCTCAAAAGGTCTTCATGCCCTTTGTAAAGATTGGTACGGAAAGTTCGAATAGAGCCAGACACGGCAGTTTGAAATGTGCATTTGAAGTTTGCTGGATCGGGGAAGAAGTATTTTTCAGGAGCAGAAAAATTATGACAGGAACACTTGACTAATAGGTCCTCCAAGCCATCAGTTGATGCAATGGTCTCCAGCAGAAGGCATTTGTCGGCAGAAGCCAGTGGGTCTATTAAATCAATATATAGTTCCAGGGACCTCAGGCGGCCAAGCGTTGCCTGGTGCTTCGTCGCCAGTGCGCCATACACTGCGCCAGGACTACTGTGGATAGTGATCTGTAATTTCTTTGCGGCGCAACTGGTCGTGTAGGCGTGTGAGCACACCGAATACTTTGAATGGCACAAAAGCAGCGTGTCCAGGCAGGGCGCGAGGCGGAGCACAGGGCACGTCCAAGGGAAGTCCTCATCGACGTCCTCGATGACTGACTTGCACCGCCACACGCCACACGGCCGGATGAAGAGCAAGACCGGCAAGCCTCTTGCACACGAGGCGGCATGTAAGCAGGTCCGCCACGGACAGGAGTTTCAGCACCTCCACGAGAACGTCGTCCACTAGTTGGTCCATGGTCCCTGCGAACACTGCAAGCGCAAGCGTCATTTTTCGCCTCTCTCTTTATGTTTAGATTACACAGGAAAAGCACGTTACTTTGAGCGTACATTTCATCCCCTCCGAAGATATTTTGATGGAAAGGGTCTAAAATGTAAGATCCGAATAACTATTTGCCATGTCCACAACTAAGCTGTAAGTCTGACAACATCGAACTCACTACAAGAACAATTTGTTTCTTGAATAGTAGTAGAAAATGAAAATGTAGGTTAAAATGTAATTGATACAAAATGCAGGTCGTACAAAACATGGATAGTACATAATGTTGAGATACCCTTTAAAAATGCCAGGTATCGAAGTGGTCCATACCAGCCAACAATTTTCTCCTCAACTTGCGCACCTTCGTCTGTAATTAGTACTCATCTTTTTATATATTTCGCGCAGCAATTGTGGGGCAGAGAGAGAAAGAGAGAGTGGGCGAAGCGGGACAAGAGAGGGGAAGGAGGGGCAATCACAACCATCTCGGCAGTTCACCTTCATTCCTCGATTCAGCATCACTTAAATCTAATTTAGGAGCAGATTTGCACAAGTTGGCGCGGGGCAAGTCGTGCGGGAGGCGGGGGATGGGAGGGGGCCAATCGCGCGAACAAGAGGAAGAAGACCGAGAGAGCGCGCGCGTGCGCGAGGGCGGGGCGGGGCAGAGCCCCCCCGCGAGTCAGGTCTAATAAATTTGATTTAATTTGGGGCTCACTGGGGACATGAAAGCTTGAAGGACAACGGCGACGAAATTAGTCATCATAGAGCGCAGCGGCGGGACGGGACGGAGCAAAAATCCACTTTAATCGGACAAAAAAGGTGAAGTCCAGGACTA